TGCTTGTTTTCCCCCTCTCCCTCTCTCTCTCCCCCCTTCATAATTAGCCTCATTGTCTATGTATAGTCGTATCCGTCGTTATTCCACTCCTCTTGTGCTTTGCAGCCCCCGGCATCGAGCCGAGAACGTGGTGTCTTATCCGACAATCCATAATCCAAAATCGAAAAGAACCACCGGCAGGACAATCCTTCCTTCTCTCTCGTCTCTTTCTTCCTCTTTTCTCACTCGTCTTATCTCTTACGCCAAAAGCAAAGACAGAAGGGAGAAAAAAAAACAAGTATCCCAAAAGCATCCCGCGTCAGTTTTTAGTATTACCCTCCCATGCAATTATGGTGTCCCATCGTGTACACCCTCCCCCCCTGCTATCCTGTTACATCTCCTCTCCTCAGCTCAAGAGGAGAACAATGTAGCTCCAGAAACAGCCACAAAGGTCATCCTAAGACTTGGCATATCGGCTCCTACTCCTAATCTTCTTGCCGTATTTGAAGAAGAGGTAGGGGAACGGCACCATGGCCAAGGTCAGAAACGCCAACAGCGACGACGCCCACTGGAAGCCGAGTCTATCGTACATTTGTGTGCCGAAAAGGGGAAACACGGCTGCAAATGACCCCCCGAGGCGTGTTAGCATCAAAGTCCACGAGCTCCTTACGTGCAGTTTTGCACAGCTCAAGGGAGGGGAGGGGAGGGGGGAGTGGCGTACCTGCGAACGAACAGCGCACGAAAGCATTGGCGGCGAGGGCGCTGGCCGCATACAGGGGATAGGCGTCAACCTGCAGAGCAAAGCCCATCAGTCAGTCCGGTTTCCATTTCTAGAGATGAGAACGAACCCCCAGCGCATAAGGGACCATCTTGCGGGTTAAAGAGGGCTTACCAAAAACGTAAAGATGCCGGAGAATACGAGCAGGTTGCTGCAAGAATGTCCACACGGTCAGCCACTGAATCAAGGTCCAATGAGGAGGCTCGCTATTTCAAAAGCAGAAGCATGCAGGCATTTCTGCCACTCCCGCCGCCACTGAGAGAATAGAGGATGAACAGGGTCCGAAAGGGTGGGAAGAAGAGGGGAAGGGGAGCAAAGGGGCAAGGAGGACGACGAGCAGGATGTAGAGGAGGACAACGAATCAGGGGTTGCCGTTGAAGAAGCATAAAATCCCACTATTCATGACGCTGCGTCACCGTGGCTGGCAATGCAGCATGAAGAAGAATTAGTACTCACCCAAATCCAAACAAGCCCGATCCAATGATGGGCACGATCCACGGCACAGACGAGTACGTCGTCCACCCAAACATGAAGAGGCCAATGGGCACGACGACGGACCCCGCGATGGCCGACGGCAGCCGAAACTCGGGCTCGCTGGCGCCCGGCACGCCCGTCTCCCGCTCCAGCCTGGCCATGAGGCGGTTGCGGATGCGGTACCAGACCGGGTCCGTCAGCATGGCGAGGACCATGCCCACGCCGATGCCCACAAAGGTCAGGCCGACCTGCCACAGCTCGAAGCCGTGGTTGGTCGTGAAGACGAGGGGGAAGGCGCCGAAGAAGAGGTAGAGGATGCCCAGCAGGATGGCGCAGAAGAGGCACAGCAGCAGGCACATGGGCTCGAAGATGAGCAGCTGGAAGGGCCGCTGCAGGGAGACGAGCATGGCCCGGGTCACCGTCTTGGTCAACTTTTCCGAGGGGGCCATCCACCGGTCGTCGCCAGTGTCCTTGCGCAGCTTGCGGGCCTTGTTCCGGAGCAGGATGGGGTCTGTCACATTGAGGTCAGCTGCTTTTGATACAACAATTCGTTAAACAAGAGGAACTTACGGTACGTCTCGGGCACGAGGAGGACAATGGCCATCCACATGACGCCGGCCCAGATGAGCAGCACGTAGTACGTCCACCGCCAGTGCGTAAAGGAGTTGATGAAGCCGCCCAGCAGAGGCCCGATGCTGGGCCCGATGAAGGGCGCGATGCTGAAGACGGCCATGGGCAGCTGCAGCTCGTGCTTGGCAAACAGGTCGCCCGTCGTGCCGCCCGACACGGTCAGAAAGGCGCTGCCCGCGAGCCCGTCGAAGAAGCGCGAGACGATGATGGTGGCCACGTTGCGCGCCACGGCCGCGGGCACCAGCCAGATGACATACATGGTCCACGCCACCAGGTAGATGGGCCGCCGGCCGTAGAACTCGCTCAGGGGGCTCAGCAGCATGGGGCCGCAGGCGATGCCGAAGACGAATGTCGACAGGCCCAGGTCGGAGATTTCGCGCGCGTTGTGGAATTCGGCCTCCATCTGCGCGTACGTCGAGGTGTAGATGGAACTGGCGCATGTTCTGGGTTTCGCCACGAGGGGGAGGCGAGCTCATGTCAGCAACCTGCATTGATGAAACCAAAACTGATGGCGAGCTTGAATGAGACAATGGCAATGTTGTCGAAGGACCATAGGCTGGACTCGTGCGTTGGTTGCACCAGGACGACCGATGTCTCGCAAGTTGCAGCTGTCTTCATGTTGTCTCTTGGCCGGTTCTTTCATCACGTTGTCTCAAACACTCAAAGCATTCGGCACCATTGAGACATCAGAAACTCATGTATCAAACCACTTACACTGTAAAACTGCCCATCGCGCAAATCAGCACAATCAGCCACTTCCGCGCCTTGCTGAAGCTCCGAGGACACAGCGGATCGTTGTCGCCGTTGTCCCACCCGACCTCGTACGGATCCTTCTCCGGCTGGCCCCCGGCCTCCCCCCGAGCGGCCTCGTCCCGCTCCTCGTCCTCCACGCCGTAGCCGTTCTGCGACCGCGTGCGGCCCAGGTCTTCCCTCGTCGATCTACTCGTCGACGACGGCGTCGTCCCCAGCCGCAGGTCCTCGCCGTCGTCGGGGTTGTTGAGCTCCTTTTCGCGGTCCGCCATGTCGGGCGCCAGCGTTGATGCCGTCTCCGTGTCTGTTGCCGTCATTGAGGGGCGTGGGAGATGTGTGTGTGTCTGCGTCTTCGATGCCTCGTGATGGGGAAATGAGGATCGAGTTATGTGATGTAAGTAAAGTAACAGAGATGATGATAAGAGGGCTTTGGAAGGGTTCCGTGAGCAAGGTGTAGAGTTCAATAGTAGTCCCAGGGGCCCCGGGCGTATATAGCAGATACGCGACGGGTGGCCCGAGATGCTATGCAAGCAGCACCAATGTCCACCAGGAGGTGACGTGACGGTGAAGCATCCAGAAAGGTCATCAATGAAAAGCCTCGCTCGCGAAGTTGTGCCCGAACTTGGTCTGTTCAGTGCCCGTAAGATGCAGTTGAAGTTCAGAGACAGCCTCCTCGTGCCGAAAACCCACTTCGGCGATAGGGAATAAGATGGGATGGGAAAGCAAAGTACGAGTAAGAAAAAGTCCCTGACAAACGAACAACCACACGAAGTCGAAAGAAGGATGCACGATGCTGGTTACCAATCACCAGCTAACGGTTCCTCCGAGCAGAGAGCGTCCAGTCTCTCCCTAGTTCGAAGCATCAGCCCTGTCTGCCCAGGTTCCGCATCGTCGGTGGATCCCACTCGCAGCCACGGACAGAGCACGTAAAGGCGAAGAGCGAGATGGTAGTAGTAATACGACTATCACCAGGCCAAGGCCGAAAACAACTCCAGCCTTCGATCCATGTACGATTGATTGAAAGAGAAGAAACAAAAGGGGAAAAAAAGAGGTCGATGATCCAACGAGTAACTGCCGGCATCACGCCCTAATCCCATCAGGTTATACCAACACGCCCGGCCGCGCCCTGCAGCGCTCGGCGGGAATAACTGCCCCAAAGGGAAACGGCATCTTCCGGGTTGCTTGTCCGGTTGTCTGATTTGCTATGTAATCCTCTTATTCGTTCATTTTCGGTTCACGATGATGCCATTCTGTCCATCAGCCTTGGGTCCTCCCCGTATGACATCTACCGTCCTTTGTGCCCGTGAAGGGTCCCTGTTCTTCTCCCCACAGACATCCAGGAGGAGCTCCTGCATCGGCCACTGGCCTTTCCATCAACTATCAAGTTCGACCTGAATCTCGATTTTCCACAGCTTCTCGACCAACAGAAGACACTGTCCCATTGTCTGCACCAAGGGGGTCCGATGCGACATCAACCACTCACAAGCATTAAAGGGACAAGCAGCGCCAAGAAAGTCAAGAAAATGCGACAACGATAAAAATGCTTGGCCCGCATCCTCTAACCCTCACGAACCTCCATCATAAACAGAATACATATCCATGATGACAAACCGATTTTGCGAGTCTCGATCCATCTTCTTCGGCGCTCCGCCCAAAGACCGAGGGGCGCGGGAGCGGGTATTGCGGGTGCTGCGGACGGCGCTCGCTCCCTCGCCCCTCGCGTTTGGTAAAGCCCATCTCTTATCCCGACTACTCTCTTCTCTTGCGTCACACGGCTGTTGGGGGCCTCTGCTGATGGCTTCATGTGTAATACTCCGGAAATACTAATGGCCATTGTCGTACTTCCTACTTCGTACATGTCTTACCAGACTTCTTCGAGCGCTCTGCGACTGCTTCGTGCGGGACGGACTTAAACAGGCCGGAAGCCCAAGAGAACATTGATGAAAACGGGCCTTCTCGACTCATCGGTCTTGATAGCCTCATATGCGCTCTCTTGGCTGGAGCTCGTATATAAGACAGCTGCCAAGACGGACATGCCGTTACGCTGTTCATGTACATGTACGTATTCAGGGACTCGTGAGCTGCGTCATCTGTGCTTTCATCTTCATCCTCGACTCCGTCACTACACACCTCATCAGCTTTTATCTACATCGATATAAAGTATCCTAAAAAGAACAAAAAGTCCTCAACGCCACCATGGAACACAGCTTGAGCTCTCCATCCATGTATGTACACCAGACAGGCTTTCTATAAACAACAAAAGCAACAGGGTATTGTTCAAACACTCGCACCAACTCCTCCTCCTCTCCTTCCCTCAACCCTCCCCCTATTCTTCCTCCTCACTCTCCTCTCCGCTTCCCCATCCTCTCCCCCCATCGTCAAGTTCAGCTTAATAGTACTCCGGTAATCCCTCCTTCGAAAAGTCGGGCACCGCGACATCGCAGTTAAAGTCCCTGTCGTACGCCTTCTTCGGCAAGACGCCCGCCTGCATGCCGGCCTGGTAGCTCCACTGCGGCGAGCTCTCCGTCTTCCACGTCCAGTACCACCACCCGAGCCCCTTCTCGAAGCTGTACATCTGCGCCTCGGCAAACATGGACAGGAACTTCTTGTACTCGTCGCTCCATTTGCTGGGGTCCGCGTTGGCCTGCGCGCACGAGCACTGGCTGTTCTTGGTCGGGCAGCCCGGCGACAGGACCGCCGTGCTCGCGTTGCCCGAGAGCGTGCCCTCCCACCGGCTGCCCTGGCCCACGTTGGTCACGTACTGCGCGCAGTCCGTGTCGGCCTGCGACCACTCGGCGAACTGCGTCGGTCCGTAGCCCGTGCTCGGGTCCTGGCTCTGCTCCGCCTGCTGCGTCCACCCGGCGCACGCGTACTCGACCTTCTTCTGGTGCGTAAAGTCGATCTGGTTGACGTTGAAGATGACGTACTGGTGCACGTCCAGCACCAGCCCGTCGTAGCCCTGCATCAGGCCCTGCCAGTTGTTCAGGCCCATGAAGCCGTCGCCAAAGATGACCAGCCCCTTGTAGCCGTTCTTGCGCACCAGGTTGAACGCCGTCTCCGTCCAGTTGATGACCCTGGCGTGGTCCAGATACACCATCTTGGGCTCGTTGGCCAGCCCGTAGTGCGTGATGATGTTCTGGTATCGCTTCTGGGAGAAGAACTGCGAGAGGCTGTTGTGAATGTCCAGGGACCGCTGCGCGTTGAGGTCCCCGTCGGTGCCGTTGAGCCAGTTGATTTGGCCCTGTCGACCGCTGTGGTTCCAGCCGTTCTGGCTCCCCGGTAAGCCGTGCAGGTCCAGGTTCACTCGCAGCCCGTACTTCCTGGCCCATTCGATGCCGCGGAGGAGGTATCGCCACGAGGTGTGGGCGACGTACTGGTCGCCGTCGTACGTTTTGACGGCCCAGTAGGAGAAGGGGATTCGCACGTGGTCCAGTCCGGCGTCGGCAATGTCCTTGAACGTGCTCTCGTCGACAAACGTGTTGTAGTGGTTCTCGATCGTCTCCGCGGCCTTGGCCCCGAGATGGGCGCATAGAGTCCACTCGTCCACGATGCCGGCACTCAGGGGGTAGTTGAAGAGAGAGGGCGTGATGAAGGGCTCAATGGAGAGCCACCCCCCTAGGTTGACACCCCTGGCAGGCGTCTTGGAGTAGTTGCCCCAGGGTTTGTTGAGCGGAGGCACATTGTCGTTTGCCTGGGCAGAGTCGTCCCAATCCGAGTAGAGACCCATGACGGACAGGCCGCCCACCGTCTCGTTGGTAAAGGTCGTGTTGAAGTCCGTCGTGCTCGCCCAGGTCGAGGGGTCCAGGTATGTGCCGATGTATTGTGTTGGCACCTTGCTATTGCTCGCGGAAGACGATGGACTATCGTTGCTGCCGCCCGACTTCTTCTTTGAACCCACCACCGCGGCCACAATGATGATGATGAGAAGGATTAGGCCGCAGATGCCTCCGACGATCCCTAGAAAACAACAGAGTTAGCCTCGTGGTGCCTTGTAAATCGGCGTCAAGGTGCCGCATACACTTCTTTCTCTTGGACCACTTGGTCTTCTTCTTCTCCGGCTGGCTGTACAGCTCCTCCTTTCTCAGGCTGTCGTAGCTATCCTCGCGAGCATGGCCGAACCCGAACCCCCATCCCCTGGTCCTCCCCTCCTCCATCGCCGCGCCGCTGACGACCCTCGACTTCTTCTGCTTGCTCGGCTTGCGGTAACTTTTGGGGACGATGCTCGGGTCCAACTCCGGGTCCGGACTCGGTGATCTCTCGCGCACTCTTACCCTCTCCGGCCCCGGGTGCCGCTCTCTCTCGCGCTCGCGCTCCCGCTCCTGCTCCCGTCGCCGCTCCCGCTCCCTTTCGCGCCTCTGATGCCTCTCTGCTCGCTCTCTTTCCCTCTCCTCGTGTCCGGCCGTGCGCTCCCGCTCTCGCCTCCTCCGCTCGCGCTCGGCCTGCCGCTGTTGCTTGACATAGTCCTTGTTCAGCTGCGCCAGCGCCCCTGCGGACAGCGACTGCGACTGCGACCTGCTGCGTCTGTCGGCCCTCCCTTCGTCTGCGCTGCTGGCGCCTCTCCGCGTCCGGGACTCGTGCTTTCGCGACCTGTCTCTTTCTCCATCTCTTTCTCTGTCCCTGTCCCGTGTTCGCTCCCTGTCTCTTTCTCTGTCTCGTGTTCTCTCTCGGTCTCTTCTGGACGATTCGCCTCGTGCGCTGCGGTGGCGGTGCGCCCGCGGGATGTCGGTGTCGCTCATCGTAGACGTGGTGACGGAGCTGTGTGGCTCGCTAGTAGGCCAGGACGCATCGACTGGGAAGACGCATCGATTTCTATAACTCTTTAACAACACTGCAGAATAAAGCAAGGAAACATTAGACGAGGAAAAAGGATCAAGAAGAAAAAAATTGAATGAAACTGCGCCTCAAAGTAGCATGCACAAAGCGTCAAAACACTACGCGACCCGCCGCCGATTTACACGTCACCAGGATGCGGTTCGCAGGGCAGGGCTGGATTGTCCAGGTTCTGATCGGGCATGTTGGCAGGGTAACGAGGCGCCAGATCGGAGATGCGGCCGGGAAGACGGCACCACGCACGGAAGCCGTGTGCCGGAGCGATCCCAGAGGCTGCGAACATGCAGCATCGTATACTACTTGACGAGATTGCAACTTGCATCCTTTCGCTGCTTTTCACCTCCCGACATTGCCGAGTATCCTTGAAAATGTAAATAAGAGACGATGTAGTACAGCACTTTCTCGTAGAACGACATATGTGCGGTGAACGCTATTGCAGGCTCCGGAGTGTACATACGAGGCCGCTGGAGTCTTGGCAGCGGCAACAGATACGAAAGGCTCAACCGAATCGGGAATCTCCCCTAAGCGCCCTGTCAAGTATAATCGGGGCTTGGTCACGTCCAGTACCTTCAGAGGAGTACTCCTTTTGTCCCTTACCTAGTAGTACGCGTAGATATAAGAGAATCTTTTCTTTCAATGTTTTGGTCAAGTTTGGAGTGCTGCCCCCGTACTTGTAGCTCTCGATGTACCGTCTCTACGTACATTGATGTACAGTATGCCTCTATCACGCCTCCGCGTCATGTCCCGATGCCCTGTCTCAGTGGTTGCAAACAAATCTAGATCCCATCACTCACATACTATGAAGATACAGTCCATCTGAGATCCATAAGATGCATGTATGGAGTCCCTCGTCCCGACTCAGACCCTGAAGGAGCAGGAAACAATAGATGAGGCGCAGATGGACTCGGCAGATTACCTAAGGCTGCGCTATTCGTACCTACTTCTCCAGAGTAACCACCGCCTTTACCCCATACTCCCCCCCCTTAGTACCTTAGATAGCTTTCAATTCTGCCGGCTGCACCCCCGCGACAGGCCGCAGCAAGCCGAGCATCGCCATCCCGTCTAAACCGACGACGACCGATGACAACTGCTTAGGTCTCGGCAATCACAATGCCTTTTAGCCCGTGTCTCTCTGCTCTTCTCTGATCCTCCACTCCTAATCGCCCTCCTCACCAGAAGCAGCAGCCCAGCAGTCATGAAGCGTCAGGCGGTCCGTCACCTAAGGGGAGCGCTGGCGCACCCCCGAGCTCCTCGATCAGCATCAGCGTCGTCAGCGTCAGCCTCCGCGCCTGCGTTGGCGAAGCTGGCACGATGCTATTCCACACATCCCCCGAATGCGAGGCTGAACCTGCCCATTGACTACTCAACAACACCTCTACTGGCCCACACCTCTGCCATTGCCAAGCGGAACACGGAGATCCCTGCCGATGTCCTCCAGGGCGCCACCAAGAAGATGAACCTCTTCCAGGCCATCAACGACGCCCTCAACATCGCCCTGTCCGAGGACGAGACGGTGTCCGTGTTTGGCGAGGACGTGGCCTTTGGCGGTGTCTTCCGCTGCACCATGAAGCTCGCAGAGACACACGGATCGGACCGAGTCTTCAACACGCCGCTGACGGAACAGGGCATCCTAGGTTTCGCCATTGGCATGGCTGTCGAGGGCATGCGGCCTGTTGCTGAGATCCAGTTCGCCGATTACGTCTTTCCGGCTTTCGATCAGATCGTCAACGAGGCCGCCAAGAAGCGCTACTACGAGGGTGCCAACAACCGGAGTGCCGGAGGCATGACGGTTCGCATGCCCTGCGGAACCGTCGGTCACGGCGCCTTGTACCACTCGCAATCCCCAGAAGCCTTGTTCACGCACGTTCCCGGAATGCGAGTCGTTATGCCCCGGTCACCGTTGCAAGCCAAGGGACTGCTGCTGGCGGCCATCCGAAGCAACGACCCCGTCATCTTCATGGAGCCCAAGATCCTGTACCGAGCTGCGGTGGAAGAGGTTCCCGTGGCGCCGTATGAGCTCCCCTTGTCCAAGGCCGAGGTTATCAAGGAGGGCAAGGACGTGACCATTGTCTCGTACGGCCAGCCGCTGTACAACTGCATGGCGGCAATCAAGCAGGCAGAGGAGGATCTGGGCATCTCCGTCGAGCTGATTGACCTGCGCACGGTCTACCCGTGGGACAAGAAGACGGTGTTTGAAAGCGTGCAGAAGACTGGGAGGGTTCTGGTCGTCCACGAATCCATGGTGAATGCGGGCGTCGGTGCCGAGGTGGCCGCCGCTATCCAGGAAAACGCGGACACTTTCAACAGGCTCGAGGCTCCTGTAGCCCGCGTTGCCGGATGGAGCATTCACAACGCGCTGATTTTTGAAAAATTCCACGTTCCGGATGTTGCAAGTGAGTATTACCTCCGTTCTGTTGCTGCAGTGGTCCCGGCTTGATAGCTGACTATGTGTCTAGGAATTTACGACAATATCAAGAAGACGGTTCAGTATTGATGACCACAGGAGCGAGCAGCGTGTGTATTTATGTATAAATGGTTGCCTAGACTGTTTTCTAGCCCAAAATGTGAATAATAGAGAACCTCTTGGAAAATATATACGTCTGTTGACGGATTCTATGCTCCAAGGCTTGATCATGTCTGAGAGCCTTCGCCTCTCAAAGCAGGATCCATGGCTACACTTCCGCTGGCGGCAAATCATGCCACTTCGCCTACGTAGCCAACTGAGTTCTCTACTCATCATGATATTTTTTTTTCTGCATCTGATCAGTCGTGCTTCGAGTCCTGTTGACGGGGCCTTCATGAACCATATGGATGGTAATAGGGTACGCTTGACAGCGTGGAGGGCCACGCTCCAGCCGGCGTACCCCGCTAGCGATCCGATGGAGAGCCACCTCAACCTGCCCCTCGTGTCGATGCCCCGCCCAAAGCTGCTTCATCTCCTAAATCCACAGCCCCCCCAAAGGTCACCCCGTAATGCGGTGAATACGTCAAAGCTTCCCACCCCGAAGAACAAGCTGTTCCCGGTTTCTACTATACTTGTCCATCCTCCCCTCCGAAGCCCAAAGAGAAAACTTGCACACAATGTCGCACATTGAGACGATTTCCTCCTTTGTCAAGGGAGCTCCCCCGGGCGAGGTGAGCTGCGCTTCCTCCGTTGCCTTGCGCGTCATCGTTTTGGCAAACTGGAAAGCTGACCTTCTAATCTAACCTTTCAACAGCTCGCAGATGTTGTTGCCGGTACGGTTACCAGCCCAGGCTCGATCGATACAGCCTCCCCCCATCTGTTCGAAAAATCTTCGAAAAGAGGCATCCATTGACGCGCGGACTTTTGCAGACATCAAGGCCCTGACGGCCTCCGAGCCCAACGTCGTCGAGGAGCTGGCCCCGGCGTTTGAAAAGTACAACGAGGAGCAGTTCATCACGCTCAAGCTGCCGGGAAGCAGCCAGCCGGTACGGCCACGTGAAAAAAAGATACTGCGTATAAAGCGAAAGGAAGAAGACACGGCTGACTCGTTGGGGGGAAACAAAAGGTTTTGATTAGTCCACACAACTCGCTGGGCGGCGGACGGTACTATGATGTCGAAAGCTCCTCGAGCTTCGAGGTCGACCATCTTTCTCAGGCACGTCTCGAGAGAAAAACAAAGCAGCTACAAATGAGCTGGGAGATTTGGGGGCTAACTGCGGCTGCAGAAAGCGAGTGCGGTGCAGAGCTACGTCCTGGAGGGAGCACAGACGGACCTGGTGTGAGTTGGCCCAGCAGTTGGAAGCGTCGTCGAAGTGTTTGGCAAGGTGGTCATGACCGGCTAACGTGGCGGCAGTAAATCAACACTGAAGAGCCTTGGGACCTACGTCAAGGAACACTTCCCCAACGCCGCCCTCGGCGCGTACCCCATCGAGAAAGACTCAAAGGTTGCCATTGTCATTGTCGCGAACAAGTACAGCCCCAACAACTTCTGGTACGGCCACCCCCCCTGCTGAGTACGAGTTACGCCGCAGATACTTACATATCGTAGGAACGGCCGATGGAGATCAGTGTACACCTTCGACCCCAGCTCCGGAGACCTCGAGGGCCAGATCATGGTCGACGTACACTACTACGAGGACGGCAACGTGCGACTGCTCACCAACAAGGCCGTCTCCGCATCCATCCCCTCAGGCACCGGCGCCGGGATCGTCAAGGAGATTGCGTCGACGGAGAAGAAGTACCAGGAGGACCTCAACAAGAGCTTCGTCAGCCTGAGCGAGGGCGCCTTCAAGGGCCTGCGGCGACAGCTGCCGGTGACGAGGCAGAAGATTGAGTGGGAACGAGTGACGGGCTACCGTCTGGGACAGGACATTGGCGGCGGCAGCTCGAAGCGATGATTTTAGCGTTTTGGTTTTCTCTATTCATTCCTTGGCCAGTTGGGAAGATGCATATGATGGCTTTGAAGGCGAACGAACGAACCATTGTCTAGCTTTTGATGGATTAATAGACGTGCGAATCAAGTATGAAAGCTGATGGATGACTGCCCCCCCACCCTTGGCGACAATTGTCAACACGCAGAGAGAAATTAATATCCTGAGCCTGGTGCGGCGGGATATTCTGCTTTAGGAATCGCCAGCTGACTGCATAGAAGGCGCCTCAGACTTGGAACACCACAGAACGGCTGTGTCAAGAAATGATTACAATGGAGCTGCCGAGGCATATCAAGACGGACTTGATGCGGAGGCTGCTTCATACTTGTACTCGCACAATGAGACCACCTTGATGCGAGAAATCGACACGGCGACATGCAGTTCAGGCTGGTTGTATTAGTATGCGTGACAAGCATGGCATAGGATCGGATCTCTTGCATCCGCAGCCTTGAAGGAACACAGTCCATGGATTCTCCGGGATGACGCGGGGCTGAGGCGAGAAGACAAGGCCAATTACTATACCGAAGTAAAGGGTCAGGATGTCTCTCTCAGCTTGCATGATACCTTGATATTGTAGCAACTTCCGAGGCTCGGAATCGGTAATTCAGTAAGGTGTGAAGAAGCCACAGACGAAGTCGAAAGAGGCTCCCGCAACAACCGTGGCCAAGTCCCGTCTTCGTTGGAGAAAGCGGCGCGAGGGCGGGAGAAGAGGGGAAAATCCCAGCAGACAAGGCTAAGACAAGCCCGGGTCCCTTGGTTTTTGGGAGCTACTATGGAGGTTAGTAGGGTAAGGTAGTGTTAACTCGTGTCCCGATGCGAATAAGAGGACGGATGGCATGTGCTTGCCGCCCGCCATCGAAAACCCGAGCTCGAGATGCCGAGCTGCTAAGTTGTATCGGATGCGGTTGATCTGATGCTTGATTGAGATATGCATAGAGGAATGGGCAAAGACCGGATGCCGGTACAATGGATGCAGCCGGTAGATGCTACAGTTACGCTCTGTTCGCTCACTTCAATGGCGCTTCCCGAGCCCGATGTCTTTCCGAGAGCAAAGCGGAGAGGAGAGGCCCTGACTCGAGCTGAGATTCGGCGAGTCGACCCGTGGCGATCAGATCACCTATAATCTCGTACTGTAATGACGACCAGGCCAAGCAAAACCAGTTCGAATCACAGTAGGAAGCGCTTTCGGCTTCCGACTCTCTCGTCAAAGAACCAGACCAATGCCAGTAACGGCTATTGTCATCCCAGAACGTGTAGAGCCTGCGGAGTATTACCAAGTGACCGTATTACCACCTGTCTTCCAACCACTTCCCGAGGGATATCAGCAAATGCTACCACACCCATGGCCAAAGTCCCCGATTTTTGGACTTGCTTGTTCCTGGTCCGCTGGCTGCTGACCTCTGAGGTCCTGCAGGAATGCCGCAGATAAGATTGGCTGCGGGAGCAGAGAATGGGCTGTGGAAGGAGGCGGAATCCAGGACACGTTGATGAGCAGGCCGTTGGTTGAGAGGTTGTGCTGGAGGACTGAGACAAGAATCCCGCAGCCCAGGGCTGAAGCGTCTGCCGTCCATGTTGCCAGAAGACAGTTCCAAGGTTCAATGAGAAACAGACGGGAAGCAGAAACAGCGCCAGCTCGGGGCGAATCAGAGCAGCCCAGGCGGTAATTTTACAGCGGCTGATTGGCGCCGCCTGTCCCCTGCGGGCCCAACGGAATTGGGGGCCCTTGTTGAACGGGGGCCGCTAAAACAATGGACGACCATCCGCTAAAGTTGAAGCGAACAGGACAAGAGACGCCAAAATGGCCATTAAAGCGATTTGGTCGTACTCGCATTCAGGCCCTCTCTCTCCTCTCTCTCTCTCTCCCTCTCTCTTTTCCCATCCCATCAATTTTTTTTGACCGACTCTGCCAATCCATAGTCCTGTCCTTTCTGGGCCGCTTCTTCTTTGCTCACCAATCCTTTCTCTTTCTTCGCTTCTCTTCTCTCTCTTCTCGGACCAACCAGACGCTTCTTCTTCTTTCCTCTTGCTTTGCCGCAATTCGCCCGCCATGTCTGCGCAGTACTCTTACCAGGATGTTGCCGAGCACAACACCAAGAAGGACCTCTTCCTCGTGATCCACGACAAGGTCTACGACTGCACCAAGTTTGTCGACGAGCACCCGTACGTTTCGCCCTCTGCAATTGCTCGACCCCGTCGCAGCCATTCCCGGCTTCTCCTCCTTTGTCCCGCTCGGGGAGGGGAAGGGGATGCGCGCTTGTCCGAAAGTGACCTGTTTCCCTTCCCTTCTGCTAACACTCTCCTTCGATTAGTGGTGGTGAGGAGGTCATTCTCGATGTCGCTGGCCAGGATGCCACCGAGGCTTTCGAGGATGTCGGCCACAGCGACGAGGCCCGCGAGTCTCTTGTCCCGCTGCTCGTCGGCGAGCTGAAGCGCCAGGTATGCGTTATGCGCCCCGCCCCCCGTCACGGCTCTTTGCGACACGTTTACTCTTCCTCCTTTCCTCGTTACTGACATTCGACTCTTTCCAGCCCGGCGACCCCGTCCCCAAGACCACCACCACCAGCTCTCCCTCTGTCGGCTCATCCACCACCGGCGGCGGCTTTGGTCTCTACAGCGTTGTCGCCATTGGCGGTCTCATCGCCTACTTCGCCTACCAGTACCTCCAGGCCAAGGAGGCCAACCAGGCCCAGGCTGCCTAAACGCAACCCGACCATGATGCAACTTCAACAATAACATAATCGACGGTTTCAAAATAAGAGGCGCAAAAGGATCACATTGCCCGGATTTTTCTCCAGCGCGCAACTTGATCACAGGACGGGCCAGGTGGGATGCGCCCCGCCGAGAGGAGAGTCGGTGTCTTGTCGGTGCCACTTTGCGAGCATACGATTCACGCCGGGAGCCGGCTCTGGGATATTTTCTGATAAGCGTGACAGTATAGATGGCGTTGTGTCTGGTATTTTCGGGCACTTCGACAATTGGGAGCCATGTTACAGGAACGAGACTAGATGATGCCTTTGACGGACATATACAGGGCTAGAAATCTATGATAATCAATTTTCTTTTTTTTTTTCTGGTTGACACAGTGCGCAGGTTGAATTGGTGTGAATTGGAGTTGAGAAAAAGGTGAGAACTCGAATTACGACAATCGCAAATAGCGTTGCGCTCAGATGAGATGCTCAATGGCAGCTGAACGCGATCAACTGCCATGTGTACATTCACGCCTGTCCGAGTTTCTGCTTGCGTGGCATTCTCAACACTCTCGGCTCCGATAAGGCGAGATAAGCAGAGGCCGAATATGAAAAGGCAATTCAAGCCACACCAAACCTTATGTCATTCGAGTGCGCCACAGGTGTGACCAGCGCATCAGCCTCGCTTCGCTCTCAGACAGCATGGATTGAACTTTGCTTAGGTAGAAGTTACTTTCAACTCTGCTTCACCCTGTCCTCCTCATCCTTTTTCCCCCATCACGGCCTCTCTCTCTCTCTCTCTCCCCCCTCCGTCTCGCGCTCTCTTTTTCCAGTTCTCTACGATACCGCTACCGCTGCTAGGCCAAACCACCCGCCCAACATGTCGTCGTATCTAGAGAAGCAGTCGTCCGTCTTCAGAGGCAGTCTCGCCTCGGCCGCGTCCAAGCTGTCGAACCCTTCGAGCATCAAAGCCGCCGCAGCAGCATCTCTCGCTCCGCCATCGCCGTCGCCGTCCGCCGCCTCCGACAGCAACACGCCGACGGCCAAGAGGAAGCGCGATGCGGCGCCCGACGTGCCGTTTTCGCAGCCGCAGCTGACGGGCTACGGCGCCGAGGTCAAGACGCAGATGACGTTTGCCGTCGAGTACCTGAAGAAGAAGGGCGACGCCAAGACGATCCAGGACATCATCGACCACCTGAGCCTGAGGAACTACACGGAGGAGCACAAGAAGGAGCTGACGGAGGGGCTGCGGCGGCACCCGCGGGTGGAGTGGAGGCCGGACCCGAGTCTGAGCGAGCAGACGTGGAAGACGGGCACGTATAAGCACCGGCCCATCATCCCGGGGGTCAAGGACGCCACGTCGCTGCTGGCGCACCTGCAGCGCAAGACGGACGCGTCGGGGGTGTCGGTCAAGGACCTCAAGGACGGCTGGCCCGACTGCGAGGACACGCTGGCGAAGCTGGAGCGCGAGCATAAGGTGCTGGTGGTGCGCACAAGAAGGACAACTTCCCGCGCTACGTCTGGGCCGACGACCCGTCGCTGCACCACAAGGTAGAACCCGAATTCCAGGCCATGTGGCGCCGCGTGCAGCTGCCCAGCCTCGACGACATGCACCGCAAGCTGGTGAGCGTCGGGCAGAAGCCGACGAGCGACGACCCGCGCAAGGCCGCGGCGGTCGCGGCCAAGCCCAAGCAGCAGAAGAAGAGGGCCGGCAAGCGCATCGGCAAGGCGACCAACACGCACATGACGCACCTGCTCAACGACTACAGCGGCATGAGGCGGTGATGGACAAGGCGAGGGAACCGACGTGAACCATTTACTCGGACGTCCGCAGGGGTCTCTGTTACGGAGATTACCCTCGATTTTTTTTTTCTTTCCATTTCTTTCTCGTCAATTTGAGATTCGATTCGGAGAATAACGGCCACCCAACAAAAAAAACAAAAGAGACACACACGCAACACACACACACACAGATTGGCTTCGTTTCGCACTTGGTTGGGCAGGACGGGAAGGCACTAGAATTGGCGTTTGGAGGAGTTTTTGCATCGGCGTTTTGATACAGCCAAGGACAATCAAGAGACCACAAAAAAAGCCGACATGGATCAGCAGCTGCCCTACCTAGTAATGGGGTGCTTCTTCTTCTTCTTCTTCAACGATAGAGTCAGTGGGATTGCAGATAATGTCTTTTTGTTCACGTTTTGAACCGAGATTAGGAATTGATTGGACATTCCCAGTACCAACGTCTTCGAAGCCACACTGAAAGTAGAGGCGTGATTCTCAAGTGGTTTTGAGCAACTGCCCAGATGTCCCAAGATGTCGTGATATGAATGCGCCGCCAACACCTACTACCTATGCTATGTTTGATCTCCATATCCCAGGGAGCCAGATGCGCCGTAACCAAAGAAAAGAAACGCAACCCTCGACGTTGACCCCGCCATCGCAAACCAGACGACATCGTCAGAAACAGAAACAAGACAAAGACGAAGAACCTAGAAAACCTCGCCCGCCAGCCGAATCTTGTCAAACAAGCTCTCAAAGACATGCCCCTCCTGATACCCTCCCACCTTATACCTCCCCTGCACCATGACGCACGGCACCGCCTCCACGCCAATGACGTCCCTCGCGGCCTCGGCCACGGCGTCGACCCTCCTCGCGGCCTCGTCGTCGTCCGCCAACCCTTTCCTCACGACGTCCTCGTCCATGCCCGCCGCCGCGGCGCCGACGGCCGCCAGCCACGCCTCGTCGCTCAGGTCGCGCCCGTCCTCAAAGTGGCCCTGGAAGAGCATCTCGACGACGCGCGCCTGGGCCTCGGGCCCGGCGCGCGCGAGGGCGAGCGCGATGAGCCGGTGCGCGGGGCGGGTGCTGCCCGTGAGGCCGCGGATGGAGAAGGCGATGTCGTGCTTGGCGCCGGCGACCTGGATCCGGGAGAGGAAGTGTGCGTTGAGGGCGTCGAGGCGGTCGTAGATGGAGCGCTTGTCGACGTTGTCTGACGTTCTCCCAAGTTTAGCATGGTGTATATCCATAAAGAAGCGTGTGTGTGTGTGTGTGTGTGTGTGTGTGTGTGTGTGTGTGGCGAACAGAATATCGCCGCAGAAAGGATCAAGATGATGATGTGGGTATAAAGAAGGAAAACTCACGCTTGCCCATGGTCGGCGCAATGTAGTACGGCTTCCAGGTGACCTCGAAGCGCACGTCGGGGTGGCTCTCCGCGTACCGCTGCGTCAGCGCGTCCAGGCTGTGCTTCTCGATGAAGCACCACGGGCAGAGCAGGTCGACGTAAATCTCCAGCCGGATGACGCCCCGTCCCGACGTCGCCAGTGCTCCTCCGGCGGGCTTGTCGCGCCGCATCGCCGAAGTCGCTGTCGTCGTTGTTGTTGTCGTCGTCGCTATTGTTGCTGTTGTCGAGGGTCTTTTGCTAGTGGGTGTGCTTGCTGAGGGAAGAGGCTGGCGCTGCTGCTGCTGCTGGTCGCTGCCGAGGTAGTGGTGATGGCGGGCTTGGTGTTGTCGTTGCGCCGGGAGGCCGATGAGCGGCGATGCAGCTGCGCTCATGGCTGCTGTCGGTGGATGCGCAATGTCTTCTATAGGACCAACAGATGAGACGCAAAACGGAATAGAGAGGCGCTTCGGTTTGCGACGGACGGTTGTAGGAGGGGGGGTGCTATCAAGTTATGAAGCAATACAAAAAAGAAAGGAAGTGTAAAAGAAGGGGAAAAAGCGCCAAGGTTAGAACACAAGTTGATGTGGGATTCAGTTTGGCGACGGAGCAACAAAAGGCAATCTTGCAAAGCAATTAGAAATCCAGATAGGCAAGGCCGACTGCCGGCCTTGCGCGGAGGAATTATTATAATCGAACTTACAAAGGTCCTTTTCTTTCTCTCCAAGTTGATCAAAGATCGTGGCTTTGAGCGGGTTGATTTGGTCCCTCCAATTGTCCTTTTATCTTTCTGGGCTTTCCCCCTTCCTTCAAGTCGGTGGCTCAATCTTTTGATCCCGCTCTTGTCCTGCTGCAGCTGAACATCGAAATTATTGATTTGATGTGATATCATTCCTCAATATGTAATCAATCTCCCCGGGGCCCGGCTGCTCAAGAAGCACAGATGCGCTAAGCCGAAAGCCGGGGGTAGCTTTTCTTGCATCGACGGACCCTGCTCCTTGATGGCACTACTAGTACTTACCTTATGTACCGAGGCACGATCAGACCACCGCATACGTACATGTACGTAACATGTCCATCTCATCGGCAAGAATCATCTAGAGACGGCGAGAGTAGAATGATAAAGATCATGAGCATTCTATCTCTGAAAGAGAAGAAATACTATCACCGAGCCTGGGCCTTTCTCGCATGGGCTGAATACTAATCCCCACCCCCCCCGGATTACTGATCGTGATCGCCCCCATTATCCCGATTGGTTCTAGGGAAGAATCCATATCGCCCATGATCGAATTGTAAAAAATCGACGGGGTGGAAAACACCACCAATGATGGCTGTTTCGTACAAGGGAGCTCCCGAAAATGGCTGATCAGATAATGATACTAATCTATGCACCTAGCTAGATTGACTTGCCATGTCAACTTCATACATTTGGTATCTACACTCCATGGCTTGTCGTGATATTCAAAACACCATGAACGACACACCGCGAGAAGGATCATGGCCATAACCAAGGGCAAAACAGACTAGACCATGAGACAATGTTTTCAATAATAGGACCAATTCTTCTCATCCATGCTTGCCTCTTTCAATCATTTGCCAGTCATGATTCATCCTCCTCACGTTAGGTACATCATTCCCTGCACAGGGGATTGGTTCCTCCTGAGCCGCCGAGCCTTCACGACTAATCAACAATTCCAACAAAGTACCCCTTATATCACTCCATTTCCCGCCTACAAATCTCCTCTCGGCTCTTCCCCTCTTCCTTCACAACTGCTCAGTCGAATCATCGCCAATCGCAAGCTCAAACGTAGGTCATCACAAGACAAAAATCATCACGGTCGTTTACAAATCACATCGTCATGTCTGTATGTGTATCCGTACCATTTCTCGCGAGAGGTGCGCTTCGAGCGCCCGTGTCTATGTAATGTGCCAAAAAGTTCAAGGAAAATGCGTCATGGAAGAGTGGCGGACAGCTCCCCGCCGTCTATGTCTTGTTCCGTTTCCAGCCATCTTCTATGCCGGCCAAAAATAGGCGGGCAAGCAAACACACTAGGCGCCTTTCCACCCTTCCTGAAACTCCAGCCTGTGTCCTCCCCTGCCGCCCTGCGCGTCGTGTCAATGAAAAACGCTCAGTCCGTGGTCGTCAAGTTTCCGGTCCGCCAGTCTATCGCCCAAGTCTATATGAAGAGAATAAGAAGAAATGAAACGGAAATGAGGAAAGCGAAATTCGATGCAAACATGAAAAGGGGACTGGCGCAAGAGTGTTATACAGAAAGCAATACTCTGCGCTGCCGAACCAAAGAGGAAAAATCGTGTACGTGATAGGTGTCGATATATAAGAAAAGGGTCGCTCAAATGTCGAGGTCGTCATGGCAGACTGGGAAATCTATTCTCCCAACCATCCATGGCGGTTAGGCTACCTAAGCCATATGGACCAGGCCAGGCTCTGCACTCTGCGGTCGTCGCAATTGCTGAGGTGCGCCATAGTACATCTGGTTCATGGAGGGATTGGGGGGGTAGCCATCAGGGTCAGGGTAGACGTAGCTGCCACCGTTGTGGGATGGCGAATGGGTCTGGGGGGACTGCCAGCCAACCTGGCTCATATGAGGGCTACCCCCTGCGCTTCCGGATCCAGCCGGATGCTGCTCCAAGTTGGGTTCCAACGTGGGCGGAGGACCGTAGCCGGTAGGGTGCGAGGTCGGTCGAATGCCGGTGTTGTAGCTCGCGGCCGACGTGGTCGACGTAGGACTACCCACACGGAGGTGAGGGGGTAGCGTACCGCTTTGCGCAATGTACTGCTGAAAGTCGGCCGCGTGCCGGGGGATGCCGTTGGAGCCGGAGAGGTCGAGGGCGGGAGACATCATGCCGTGCTGGCTGGGTGACGGGGTCGTCAGGGGGGAGCCGTGGCTAGACATGTGGTCGCCGTCAGAGCGAGCTTGGCTTCCGTTCTTGACCCTGGAAGCAGCGAGTGCCGCTGCGGTGGCCGCCGCCGCTTCCTCGATCGTGCCCGTGTGGTGGTTCTGATGTCGGGTCAGAGTAGTACGTCGCGTGAACGTCTTCTGGCAATCAGCATAAGGGCATTTGTAGGGCCGCTTGCCCGAGTGTGTCCTTCGATGTCGAGCCAGAGAGCTGCTGTCACTAAACGGCTGCAAGATGACGCATTAGCTTTTGGTTCTCAGTTCTGGGGGGTAATGGCGCTGATGACTGGCTTACCTTGGCGCACGTCTCGCAGTGATGGGGCTTCTCGCCCGTGTGCACTCTCTGGTGAACGGTCAAGGCAGAGCGTTGGATGAATTGCTTGTTGCACTTGGGATAGTCACAGACATGGGGTCTGACGCCGGTGTGGATACGCTCTGCGTGACTGTGTTAGAAGGGTGTTCAAAAGCTCAGACTCCCGATATCAGACTTACCATGGCGGGCAAGGTCGCTTCTCCGAGCGAAACCCTTACCGCATGTGCTGCAGGGATACGCCTTGACCGGAGCCTGCTGCTGCTGCTGCTGCTGCTGATGCTGATGCTGGTGCTGTTGCTGATGTTGCTGCTGTGGTGACTGTTGCGGAATGTGGTGCATGGCCATGCTTGGCACACTGCCCATGCCTGACATGTCGGCGAAGCCACCCATTTGCATCGCGTTGTGTATGTGATTCGGAATCTGCATAGGGGCCTGCATGGCCGTCGGCGAGGGATAGGCGCGAGAGAGGCTGTGGGCGGAGTAGGACGAATGTTCAGACATGTGAGGGGATCCTGATCGGTCCATCGACGGCTCATGCTTGACGAGGCCAAGATGGTGATGCTGGTGTTGGTGGTGGTCGTGCATGCCTCCGCCGAGCCCGTGTGTCATGGCGCCGCCTTTGTTGTTCAGCATGTTCGTAATGTCCATCACCTCAGGAGACGCAGAAGACATGACGGGATTCGGCCTTGCGGACGAAGAGAGGGTGTGAGGTAACATCATCTGGACAGGTGTAAGAGGGCGACCTCGGAGAACTTGTGTATGATGCTACCGAGACTCAGTCAGTCATGGCTCATCCGTGCGAGAAGTATCCATGTCAACCATCAAAAAGACAATCATATGTCGAGCCATGAGTCGTTGGTGGTGTGAAGCCGTCACGGTAGCTTATCCTGCCATCACAGGAGTTAAACCTCCCATGAGCTTGGGCCACCCACCAACAGCACCAGCCGACGTACGATCAATCTAGAAATAGAGAGTCTAGACATACCTTTCAAGATCCGATGACAAAATACGGGGAATGTCAGGTTTTCCAGAGTCCAAGGCGCAATCCTTCTTGTCTCCTCCTTCCGTCGCTCTCGGGCCGTCGCCTCCAACTTCGAAATCGGTGAGATAGGCGTTGTTGGTGTTGACCACGGTTTGTAGATCGCGCTATCTGCTAAGCCACTGCACTCAGATATATCCGTCGATAGAGGGAGTCCTGACGTTGCAATAACTCGCCACCGCGGGGCAGCCTCGGAGGATATTTGTATGCCGGCAAGCCAGAGGGCAATATGAGCAGGCGACACTCAGAACCGCAAGGTTATGGAGGATATTGGGCGAAGCAGAAATGAAATCCGGCACGCTTCTTTCAGGTCGTAAGGAGGTTTGTCGCATGCGAGACGGAAAGCCCGACGTGTTCGTAGATGAAGATACGCTTAAGTTTGAGACCCAGAAATGGAATCAAGTGGAGGAAGAAAAGGAGCCTGCGTTCGATACAGCAATGCAGAGATGCAGTCGAGTCAGCCTGCAGAGCGGAAGAAACAAGCTGCTAGCGGGAGAGACTGATCATAAGCCGGACCGGGGCGTGACTGTCTAACGGGCGCTTGGTCGAGGGTGCTGCCGGGTTTTCGAGGCTGGGTCCTATTTGGTCAGCCGCGTCGCGGGACAGTGGGCTGATGCAAGGTGGAGGGCGCGCGATGTGGCGGGCAACGAAAGGGAGGAGGATCAGGAAAAGGGAAGGGAAACGGGAAAAGGAAGACGGCCGGCACAGCTGAGCCTTGGAAGCACAAAACAGCGGCCGCGTCGTCGTGGGATGAGGTGGGTAGCTAAGGGAAAAGGGTGGGAAACTGGCTGGCAAGTCGGTACCAAAATGCGGTCTTCCAAAAAGCAAGTCAAGTGCTTCTGGAACTGGCAAACGACGTAACTTTTTTAGGGGCCCAAGCCTTTATGACAGGCCTCGCTGGCTGAGTGCAGGGCAGGCCAGCAGGGGTGGTGGGCTTGACGGGGGGACAAGGGCCTTGTCGACAGAAGATGGAAGATGGAACAAAAAATCTCCTGGACCGGCTCACCCTTGCGCCGCGCCAGAGACTGGGGCCATCCCAAGCAAGCAAACAGGGGTGGTTTGTGTGGATGTACGAGCACGGATGATGTCTTTGGTGGTCTGTAGCCAAGGGAAGCAGGACAGACAGGACCGGACAGGCAGAGGCAGTAGGAGGATGCTGAGCGGGATGGGATAGGGCAGGGCAGGGCAGGACGTGATCGGACGGGACAGCATGGCGGAGGTGGTACTCACTGCGTGGTCTGGTGCGGCTCTCGAGGGTGCTCTGTGCTCGGCCTGCGGTTTGCCTGCTTGCTATCAAAGCAGAGCAGTGGAAACCAAAGTCGAGATTGCGTGGAGCTCTGTGCGTCACCTCTGGAGGAATGCGGCTGCTTGGAGTTGTGATCGCAATCTCACGAAGTCGCACGTCGTTTCGCGGCAAGGCTGAGGCAGGCGCAGAAGAGCTGTCGTCGCAGATGAACAATCGATGGTATGATCGCAAAGAGGTCCCGGGGTCTCAAGACGGTTGAGGAGAAAAGTAAAGAAGCCGGCCGCCAAGTCTAATATAGTCAGAACGAGGCCGCAGATCGAGCCCTACCGATGCCGCTATATTCGTGCTTGGCGGTCTTGATTCGCGGAGGGCGAAAAGAGGAGGAGGGGAGGAGGGGGGCGTGTGATGAGGAAGGAAACAGTCCGGCCTTTGGCTGCGAGAGTGAGTTGGTTCAGCAGACGTGCAGCATCGCGATCATGAGAGCTTCACGAGAGTGAAAAAATGAGAGAGCAAAGCGGGTTGGTGGTCGGGTGGAAATCAGCTGGCGGGAGGCGGCGTCGTCCTGGCCATTTTCTAGCGGTGCTCCAGGGCGGTCCAGGTACCGGCGCGCGTCGGGCAGGTAGCGGGTACCTGGCATCTGTGCGCGGCCGGAGGCACTTGTGGCGTATAGAGTACCGAAGTACCGCGCCGGGGACCTGAGCGAAGCGCAAAAGTCTCCCTCCACAGTGTCCCGATGGCAGCCAAACTAACATCAAATGGAAGGCTCAGCGAAAGAACGATCACCTCGACTTCATTGCGGTCGGTGGAGAGCTGCCGGGGTGCATTTTAGCGCAGGCTGGCACAGCGCTAGAGGGGCCATTTTGCGGCAAGGGTGCGAGCATCAATTGATGCCTCTTTGGGCAGACACGAGAGCCGGACACATGCGGTGTGGAGGGCGACGGGCTCTGCTATTCTGGGTGCATTCTCTCGGCCATTATTCAAAGACGAAGGCATTGCGCAGCTACTACAGCACCTGGATATCACGATAGTACTATAGGGCGGGAGTTTCAGGGCAAAATGCAGACAGGCATACGCTGCATCAACTGCTGCCATCATGCCCGCCGCCTTTGCCTCAGGCAAGGTGGTCCGAGAACCATGGGCGCGTGCACATACTTCGAGCTTGGATACCAAGGTAACTCACCAAGGTGCAGACGCCAGCCCCCTGGTAGAAACAGCGGTGCCAAGGGACCGAGAAACAGAAACAGCCTGGACCACATGTGTAATACAAACCCGTGGCGTGCAAGTGTCCCGGAACATCTCGATGCACGGTGATATACGGCGGCGGGTGTAGAGTACCTACTACTACTACGAGTACTGCGACAGAAGCCGCCAAAGAGGGGGGCCCTGGCTGGCTATGCCAGATTGATGGCAACCCATGGCCGAAGAAGCGGGCAGCATGCAGGGCATCATCATCATCTCAGACAGCCCGCGTGCCGTTGCTTGCAAGAGTCCAGTCTCTGCCAGCACATGCGTGTGTCCCGTTTGATCGAAGCCCGAGTACGGCATCTCTCGGCGCATGAGATCGGAGAGCAAACACAAGGCGGGCCTTGATCCTGCATTCCTGATAGTATTGGCGGTAACACGGCGAGTGCCTGTAAATATCACACACTTCCCAGTCATTCCCAGGAGGAAGCGCATCGAGGACTCGTTCCTAGGTAGGCATTCTCCCCGACTGCCACTGGTAGCTCAAAGGATTGACAGTCATCTCATGGATGAGCATCATGGTGCCGCATCCGCAGCCCACCGGGCACGGCGTTCCCGGCTCTTGCTTGGGTCCGCCGGGGCATGCTTACCAGTCAGAAAGCTATTCGTTTGTTCATTATTCCTGCTTCTGCCCTCCATCCATGACATCCTCAGCTGCGAGGTAGCATGCATGCTGCACGATGGCCCTGCTGGACACGTGACGTTTCAGGGCGTCAGATCGAGGTGAGCAAACATCGAATGATCAGTATCCGTCTATTTGTCCTCTTGGCACATTTCAACGGCTTCAGTCCATCTGCGGGAGGCGTTCGATGATGCGCGTTGGAGAGACGGAGTGCATGAGGTACAGCATGTTGAGGTACATGCATCCGTGGCCACCGCCAGACTTGTACCTGTCGTGTCGGGCCCTCCTCAAACGGATCCCTCCCCCCCAACAGCTGCCAGGGGTTGGTTTGTGCGTTGTCCATCCACAGGTACTTATACGGATACGTGCAATATTCCCCGGCCGAGCACCACCGGTCCTGCGATGCGACAGCCGAGACAGAACCCGAGTTGTCTGGGGTGTGTCAACAGGCGGGTTGCCAGACGCCATCCAAAGGGCTGAGAATGGCCAAGGCGGCACCGAATCGTCGTCGCTGTTGAGCTGGCTGGTGAAGATTTTGGCTGAAAATCGTTGGTAATGATGGGACGGTAGATGGTGGTCCTCGATCGGCCTATTCGAGTCAATGTCTATAAATTGCGTCTTTCCCCTTTGTTCGTCCGTCGACGTCAACAAGCACCGACAAAGCCACCCCCTTTGATGGGGAGAGGGCGGGATTGCTAGTCAAGTCGTGAACCACTTTGGCTTCCCGCCGTTAGACATTCAGCACAAAATGCGGCAAAGGCGTATGCAGCACCAGGTATGCACATGTATTTTCATGCACATGCAGCACTTCATTTCCCTCAGGCCTGCATGGCGGTCGATCAATAGCGCAAGTCCAGAGGGCCTCGGCCGATTGGGAACAGCAGTTCGCAGCCAATGGACGCACACTCTAGACGACGCCTCTGCGATCTAACGAACCCCCATGTTCGTTTTATTTTTGTTTCCTTTATCTCTCAGGCATGCAATTGTCACTAGGCTGGCCAGGCCTAACAATAGCGATAGCAGCACACGTGTGGAAATGATGTAATTCAGATTGACGCCTGTTAGCCGCGATGAGCATGGAAATAAGAGGTGGTACGTGCTATACATGTCGCCGCCGGCCAGAATTTGGTACCGAGTACTCGTACATGCGCCTGACGCCGCACATTCACGAACGATTGTTCGGGAGCCAAGTCGTATGTTATTATGGGACGCTCGCGACAATTCGGAGGAAACCGCGGCTGCAGGATAATCGAGACCAGACGACCTGAGATTGGCCAGAATGAGTGGTTGCTGCTAGGAGAAAGGGCTCCGTACAGGCCATAACGATGCGTACGCGCGGCGACGGTGAAGACACGGAAGGGATTCGGTAGCCGTACTCGTAATAATATGCCATTCGATCCTAGGTAAGTATTCAGCATGCGGTTAGGTCATGCTACCGCTGCCGGCCAGAGGCGCAGCACCACCGAGCGACGCACCATATGAGGGTAGTAATTTGTAGTACCTGCGGGCATCTCTTTCGGGTCAATCGATGGGGCCACGATGGCCAAAGGGTAGCCGGAAATGAGGGTTACCACCTCATCTCACACGTTCGCGATTCCGTCTGGGGTTGCGGCAAGGCAATTGCTCCTCCAGCCCATCGCATCGTTGATCCTTCTGGTGCGCACGCGATGCAATAATGGGCGCTGCACGCTACGACCCAGCGCACGTTTCACCTGTGCCGCCATGGCGGTTAGCATATGGAATCGATCACATCTCTCATCCTAAATGAGATAAGATGGAGCGGCCCGCGCGTGCGAACAAGTGCGTAGTCACTGTGCAATGTACAAGCCCAGCTCCCGGATCGCCAGAACGGGATACTTGGACCCAGATGTCCCGCTGGGTGGAGGACGGTGACCACGCTGGCAGCTCTCGGCGTCACTACAATACGACCCCTAAAAGTTTATAACTCAGGTATATTACAGGGATCTATCGGCCAATTATAGCAGTTCTTAAAGCACCAGCAGGTCACATACTATATATAAAAGGATGTAATAAATACTAATTTTTATATATAAAAAGCAGGGGTTTTAAGGTATTTCCTATATATCTCTAGTACTTTATATAGCCTCCCTATACCTTAATAATAGCAGCTATTCTTTAAGGCATTAAATTAATCAGCTGCTGTAAAAAGTCCTCCTTAATTATATCCTAAGCTATAATTATAGCCTTAAAGAGGGCATAGCCTATAAGCCTAATTAAGCAGCTTTTTTTAATCTATCTCTTTATCTATACCTAGATATGCTTAATTAGGTTAAGATTAGCGCTATAAGGCAGCTAATCTATTTAATCAGCACTATTAAATATTTAGTTAATATACTCCTTTATCTTTTTTAAGGTATATACTAGGGTATTATTTTATTAGATTTTAAAGTCTAAATTAAAAAGCTAAGATTCTTATAATAATAATAAAATGCATATAGAATAGGAATTAGAATTTATCTTGCTTTATTTCTTATCTTATATAAGAGATAGCCTTTTAACCTGCTTAGTAAAATAAGCCTAGAATATTTACTTATATGCCTTCTTATATAGCTTTATAAATTTATTTAGATCTTTACTTATAAAGTGTTAAATTTATATATAATTCTTATAGAAAAATAACTAATACTATATACCTTTAAAAAGCATAATAAAACGCCACTTAATACTAAGGCTATTTACCTAGGTTTTATTAGTCTAGATCTATTTTACTTAATTAATAGCTATAAGGTATGCTTAATAATTAGTAAAAGTAAGCTATTTTTACTAGTATTAGTTAAAAAGAATAACTTAGTATAGCTAAAGCTGCCTTTTACTACTAAATATATATAAAGCTATTTAAATTATATACTTTAAATAGAAATTTAAAGCTAGAATTAAATCTTAAAGCTTCTTTAAGGTTATAAACCTCTTTATATTATATAGTGTTTAAATTTAGCTTTATATAGTAGCTATAATATTATATAAAATAACTAAAAGCTAACTAGAATTATAATAACCTAGCTAGTCTAGCTAACTAAGACTATAATACACCTATTACTTTAATAGGCCTAATTTAGCTATAATATAAGTTATTAATATCTTATAGCTATATAAGGCCTAGGCCTAGATCTAGTCTTTATAAATTATAGCTAGGCTCTTTAATGCCTAATTTATTAAGCTAGCTATAAAGTAGGCCTAGCACTAGGCTAGTATATTAAGGTTAATTTCTTATAGTAGGTTAAAGGCCTTATTATTATTATCTTTATTTTTATTTTTAGTATTAATATTAGGATTAATCTATTAGTTAGTTAAATTAGTTAGATTAATTATTAGGCTAAAGGTTAGGCTAAGGGTTAGGTTAAAGGTTAAGTTAATAGTTAAGTTATAAGTTAAATTAAATATTAGGTTAAAGGTTAAATTAAGCGCTAGGTTATTAAAGGAAGAAGAAAGCTATATTATAAGCTAGGCTTAAAGGAAGTTCTAGTTACTGCTAAAGGCTAGAAAAATAGCTAATCTAGCTATATTATTAATAATCTAAGTGCTAGCTAGACTGTTAATAAAGGTTAGATTACTATTACTATTAAATTTAAGGTTATTATATATATATATATTATTAATAAGTTTAATTAATATATTATTAGCTATAATAAGGTTAATTAAGTTACTAGCAGCTAGAAGAATAGTTAGACTGTTTATAAAAGCTAGAATAATAGTTAACCTAAGTCTAGTTAAATTAACTAATTATATTATAGTATTTTAAGCCTAAATCTAGGCATTATAGTATGCCTTAATAATATTAAGTAGGTTATATAACTAGATTAAGCTAAAAGCTAAGGAGGTAATACTACTAGCCTTACTACTGCTTAAGGCATTTAAGTTATAGAATTTATTAAGAAGCTGCTAATATAATAGCATTAATAAGGTCTGATTTTAAGGTAATATTCTAGCTATTTAATATATTAAAAAAAATGTAATTTTTTAATAAAGATAGTATAAAAAAACTATAATATAGCATCTCTTATAAATAAGATTTTTTAGTTTATTTATTATAAGAAATTACATTTACTAATTATAATAAAATTTAATGCAGCTAATAGGAAAATTAGAAATTAAATATAATATTTAATTATAGCATTTTTTATTATATTAGTTAAATTTTTTTTAATTAGTTAATTGCAGCTAGCTGCAGCTAGCACTAGCTAGCACTAGCCGCTATGCCAGCTGGCATCTACTGTTATTAAGGTATATACCTAAGACCGGTGGGCCCGGAAGTAGAAGAGTTATAAACTTTCAGGGGTTATATTATATGTACCTTATGCCTCGGCCGCGTCGACAGCAACATGACGAGTGTTGTCGTTTCTGGGACAGGCTGCTCGTATGTTATGGCGGATGCAACTTCGTGCATATCAGCCCAAGGCCGCGAAACCGACCGACTGGCTGACCGACTGCTAGCGCTCCTCCTCGAGTCGTTCGAGGTTCGCAGCAAACATTTGACCTGCAGGCGACAGACAGAGGCTGTTGGGACGCCACCCGTCGTGACAATAGCGACAGGAGAAACGGGTCACGCCGCCAGGCAACGATGAGACGGCCAGAGAATAACGGCTCTCCCGCAAGGCTTTGCATGACACTCCACCCACCGTCATTAGCTCTCCTCAGCCAACGAACGGCTCGAGAAACACAAACGTCGTTTCCTGGGCCTTCTCTCCGTTGTCGCCGTTGCGAGCCAGGGGGAACGCTGAACAGAGCCGCTTCGTTTTGGCAGTCTGTGCATCTGGTTGGCTGCGTGGAGAGGCCGATGGCCAATGCATCCTGGCGGAAATTGCTCTAGCCATACGTGGCAGGATTCTGGAATTTCTCTCGGCTGTCTCCTCGACGCTGGCTCCACCGCCGTGGATCTACCCATGCCCGTCCATGCCACCAGCGACTAGGGATGATGCCAAGTGCGACAAGGCTTCATCCAGCCCCATGCCATCTCCCACCTCCCCTTGCTCCCCGTCCCCTAACTAACTCCAGCTTTCCATCCGCACTAGCAGCGCACAAGGACGGAGCTGCACGGAGCAGGACGGAGAACAAGTACCGCCTCCAGGTACTTTGTTTGCACAAGCGTGCTTGAGCGCACCCAGCATTCTTCTCTCAGTGTTCGAGAAGCTTTGAGCCCCGACCGTCGTGCTTCGGACTTGTCTGGCTGACGGACCCCAGCGATGGGTAACGTGGCGTGTGGAAGCAGGTGGTATTGGGTAGGTACAACCTGTCCTCCACCACCCCCTGGTTGCCAATGCCGGCGAGCGCTTGAGTACTAGTAATTGTATGATCACCATGATCGGCCACTGGCTTCCGTGATCCGTCGAGGGCATTGCATTGCTGGCTTGCACCGCAGCGCAACGGCGACCAACTCGCAATGATTCTCCGTCGGCGCTTTCAACCTGGCAGAGCTTCGCAGCCGGCGGTTTGTCCAGATGCAGCTTCTGTATGTCCTGCAATTGGACCAGATCGGGCTTTGCAACGTCAGCAATCCATGTCTCGACTCGTCAATGATGTAATGAAGCAGCACATCCATACACATACATGGAGCTACGGTACGAGACATTGCCTGAGTACGAGCAAGTTGAAATGAGTACATCCCAGAGGTGATGAAGGGGCTCAGGTATGTGGATCGATGTGAGCAAATGGTTTCGCTGGCCACAACCCCTCACGAGAGAGAGTCGTGGGGAAGGAGTGTTGCGCTGGTTACTGCCATTTGACGGACAATGGGCGTGGTCACCTGAACAGCGCGTGACCAACAGGACTGACGTCCAAGTTGCCGCAAATCTCACCAGTCGGAACGTTTTGAGAGCTTCACTTTCGTCTCCTCAACACTGCCAATCAGACGAGCGTCTTTCAACTCTTCAGTTACGGGATCTTGGGGCTGGACGAAGACGAGGACGCATCCAATGGACCGCAGATTGGCGTGTGAACCGCATCTCTGCCTTGCTCCGAACACCTGCAGTCGCTCTCCGTACGTACGAGCCAGGTTTGAACGAGCCTGTCCTGCGCCGCACATATTGAACCTTGCAGCCAACACGCATGGCGCTCTGAAAGTGGCTGGTGCTATGCATGCAAGGAATCCATCGCACTACAGCGCCTGGATCTTGAAACGAGG